AAAGTAAAAAAATGTAAAATTAAATTCCTGAAATTACAGGAAATGTGGATAGCATGGTGATGCAATGATGTTAATCGAATTATGTGTAATAACATGTAAAATGGGATCATGAAAGGAACATTTAAAAAGCAACTCATGTAAACACCTTAATCATATTACTGCCTTTTTCAGATTAAGTCAAATAATTAGATTACTGATGTCTATGTAAATGTTGTGACTGTGATCCAGACTTCCTAAATAAGTATTATTCCTTATCCATATTGATAGCAGTTGTGCTACTTACTTTTTGGTCTCAATTCTTTGATGAATACAAACTTGCAAAAGAATTGCATTTATTAGAAACAGAAATCTGTTATTACGTTAATTTTTGTATTATTCAAGACATTACCTTCCTCTGGGAAACTTAAAAAAAGAGATCACGAAGATGCATTTGAAGAAGAGAGAGTGAATGAATCTTTAATCTTGCAAGAGAGTGTAAATCCCCTATACGTTTCCCTTCAACTGAAACATCCAGTTGGCTGTTTAAAATTCTTCTCAGCACTAAATGAGGTATTTAAAACTTTGAGATTGGCAGGAGACGGGGATTATTCCCTTGTGATTGGCTCCTCTTTTGCGGCTATTGCACTGAAACTCCTTGATCATTTCACAGGAAATGACTTTGGGAGAATAGAGACACCATTCAGGCGGCAAGTGTCTTAGACTCACGTAACAACTCTGACTCCTGAACCTGTGATACAAACCAGCTCTAACACTCCAGTAATTTAATTGTACAATCAATCACTTTACAAGCCGATTAACTGGCTCACTCAGGAAAGAGTAACTAGTTATTTGATAAGACAAATAAGCCAAACAGGAGTACAAATTATCTACAGCAGTATAGTCTGCAAATGTGTTAAACATCTTATTCCATTTGGACAGACTGAAAATATTGGTCTATTCTTTTTGAAAATGATATTGATATTTTATTATCTAAAAATGATTAATGCAACATTATGTTTTATTAGAATAAAAAAAAAAATATTTATTAAGAATTAAATGCATGGAATTTAGCAAAAGAGTGCAAGGAAAGATTTTTAGAACATAACAACGGTTTCTATTTTAAGTAAATTATGTTCACTTGAATTTTATTCATCAAAAAAAAATCTTTAAATATTGATTAATTCAGTATTTATTTAGAAAAAATCACATGACACTGAAGACTGGAAAAATGCCTGCTAAAGAAAAAGCTTTCCATCTTAAGAATGAATGTGTTTTAGAATATATTTAGAGGTTGTTTTCACATGACATCATGGATGACGTGTGAAATTCAGATGGAGGGCAGGAAGTGGTTCTTCTACATAAATACTACATAAAAAATATTTCAGTTTTGTGTTGTTTATAATTGTTTAAATCAGCCAAAATATGAAATGCCGAACAGCTTTTATAGACTTCCAAAGTTTTAGTTCAAGAAACTGGCTAAAAAATGGAAGAAAAGGCAGCATGTAATAAACATTTTTTTTCAATACATCCATGTGTAAAAACCTTTTTAGAACACGATAATTAGTTTGACAGTACTTATGAAGTTTATATATAGACTTAGATATAAATATGCTAATGTGTTGTATATAAAAATCAGATGCAAACACCACCACACTTATACAAAATCCAGGAGAATATAAATGACGTACTCTGCCATGTATTCACTGCAATGAAGTCAGTGTCTTGTTTTGCAATAATCCAAGTCTTTACTGGCGTTTCGGCAGAATAAACAACCATAACATAACATCTATATGCACAGCAGTAGTGAATATTTGTTGATGGTACATGTAACCCCTGCGACAAAACTAAACTGTTATTATTGTGGAGCATTTTTCCCCCCTTACAAAAATAAATAAAGAATTATGTAGAATATGCATCCACGCTTTTGTATGCTTTCATCTGTTATTCCGTGATGTCTGGAAGATATCTGCATGGGGAAAAAACTATAGTAACTTATAATAAACATGTTTTTGAACCACATAGTAAAGTGTATAATGTGTATGACTCTTTGTTAATGAATGCTACAGAATACTGCAGCATAGTAAACTGATAAACTGTAATAAATACTGTAATGTTAGTGTAAACTGTGGTGCATTAGGATTATAGCGTAGAAAACCGCATATGAGTGGGCGCAGCCATTTTAATCTTTGGCTCGAGACTTACGGTCTCATTCACTTCCATTTATTTTTAGATGTTAAAAATAGCTCGTTTTGCTGCTTGATGTTGCAAACTGATATTTTCTGATATTTTATATTTTATTATATTATTCTACTTTGTCTGTATTATCATGCAAACACTTGTTTGTAGATCAAGTAGTTTGATCATTTCTGCCTTTTATTATTCCTAGTCATTTCTCCCATTGGAAACTCAATTGGAAGTTCTAAAACAATAGCAAAGATGAGCGCACTTCCGCATTGAAGAATAAGGTCAATTGAATAACTTCATTACTACAGTTGGGTCATACCACAGCAATAATATAATGACTATGGCAGTTTAATTCAAGTAATTATCTATAGCATACTTCCAAACACTATAGTATTTTCATGTAACGTAATTATACAGTATCTACCGCCTCAATGACAGGCAAATATGTTTTAGTTCAGTAGAAAGATCAGCTCTCTTCATGATCATGATCATGTCAACATATATGATTATTTTCTATTTTTATTTACTTTAAAATGTGGTATAAATTGCAAAAATAGGGACTTTCCTCCTTGTCTCCCGTTACGTTTTTTTTTTTTACTTCCCTCCATCTAAATTTTGCACGTCACCAGAACCATGTGATTGAAAACTACCTATGTAATATATAAAACCGTCATTCTTAAACTCTAATAATATTTAGCAATTTTGGTGTTCCCACTATTTTATAAACAACAAGACTTTTTAAAGCACCATTAATTCAAATCAAGCACCATTGTGATTCACACCATTAGCATATGTAACGCCATGAAAGTACTTAACATTTCACTTACACTTAAGATTTACATTAAAATGCCATAGTGCATAGCTTTTATTGTGCTCCTGGCCAAACGACTAATATTGCTTAGGCGGAAGGATCAGAAACCTCCAAACCCACCACAGTGAATCTGTGATACCCTCTTCTTCCTAAAGTTGGAAAAAATAAGACTGTCTAGAAGTTCATTTAACCAGTTCAAGATAATTTGGGACCCATGTTTTATTGTCAAATATAGACCAACACCTTGTTCCAGCAAATTCATTCTTTTTCTTTATGTAATAATTGTGGCCAATCAGACACATAATTATTCTGCTTTTATTCAACAATTAATACACCTCAACTTCTACCCAGGAAAAGACTAGATGGTCAGTTGTAATCCAAATCCAAGAATCCCTATGCAAATCCCCCCCCGCTTTGGAACAAAGACTATAAAATGCACCTCGGGGGAGTTAACTTCTCATTGGTCAACTTAGCTCCGGAGGGTGGGTACAAAACCATCCTTATAAAAGCTTGTAAAAGCTTGAGGACTCCCGGGAGCAGATGGGGACCCAGACAAAATGGATTATTCGCACAGCTCAGACATTCCCATTTCTGATACCTTTCTTTCTTTCTTTTCCGCCGAGAATCTAGTTAAGTTTAGTGCTCTGCAAAACCAGTAGTCAATACGACAAGCCATTTTGCCACTTCAAAATTTAAAATGACTGACTATACCCCACTCCAAGCCTCGCGAGGACAGAAAACTGACAACCGGCTAACCACGCGTTCAACAGAGGGAGTTCTTCACATTACAAAAGGAACGCAAATAACACTTCCAGACTACAACTGAACTGGTGTAAACTAAATGTAAACCTAAAGAGAACATAGAAGGATTCAATTGATTATTTGTGGTTCGCTTGATTTGGTCTTACAAAATCCGAGGTTTTTCCATTATTACACTCGGTCACACTTTATTTTGATAGGGTTGGGGTTAGGGGTAGTGTAAGTTGACATCTGTAAAGTTTCTTATAGTCGGTTAAATGTCTGTTGAAGAGCAGTATTAATAGATATTAAGCAGACACTACTAATACGTAAATGGACCATCAAAATAAAGTGTTACCTTACACTCTCTCAAACTCTTATTTAACTTTCTTTACACTTGTATGAATGTGTGTTTGTGTTAAGTGTTAGATTAGTCAACAAAGTTTCATTTAGTATAAAGGTGCCTGTTCATATTTATGAATCTCATGTCTTAAACGTTGATCTTGCTACCCTGCTTAAACATAAATTGCCTTTTATTTCAGATAGCAATAGCCATAATTAAAGTCTCTCTTTTTGAACCCCCTCTCAAATGAATCTTTAATTCTCTTTGAGCTAATTCATTACATTTACAAAGCTCAAAATAGACTGTATTGTGTGATGCAGATTGTACAATTGTAGTTTTTAAGTCACAATATTATTTAGCCTTTTATTTGTTGGCAGTTTTTTATTTTTTTTATTTTATTGTATGTATAGTTGATCCTATCTATGTTTTAAAATATATTTTAATTGTTTTTGTCCATTGTTTTTTTTTTTACTGTAATTTGCCATAACATTCATAATTATTTTATGCCACAGTAATGGTGTCATTTTAAAAATAGAGAGTTTTAAACAGTCATGTTCAAAAAAAATTTATAAAATTTATTAATTAAATACAGGAAATATTAAATTGTGGTTTCTAAAATGTTGATATAATATGCATTTCTTTTATCATTATTATTCTAAAATATTGACTTTTAGGATTTTTAAATTAAGAATTTATCTTTCTTTTGTTCTGTTTTGGACAGTAAAATTGCTTAAATAACACCATAAACATACTTATTTTCTAATTTAATTAAAGCACTTTCAAGAGCCTGTTTGTTTTTAAGTACTTTCCAGTCCTTAATTCCATATGTATGAATTTAAGTCTTTTCAAGAAGCGTGGTAACCCTGTTAATTTAATATTTGTACTCTTGTTCTCGATATATGTTTAAAAAATATATAAATTTTTGTATATACTTTATGCACATACCTTAATGCCAACAAAATCCACTGGAATGATTGGGTTTTCGAGAGAGGGCAGACGAGACTCATCCATCCGCTCCCCCACCATCACCCTGGTGGCCACATCAATGAAGTCCACACCGATAGTTTTAGAAACGAAAGGAAAGGATCGAGAGGCGCGCAGGTTACACTCGATCACCTGAAACAGAGACATATGATTCTGAGTTACCAGCAGACGTATTATAACTATAGGGCTGAATGATTTACTTATTCCTTACTAATATGTAATGTTTTTCAACGGAAAAAAATGTTTACAAAGTGAATGAATATGGCAAAACGATTACTCTGGATCTGAAATGTGTCTAAATATTATTAGTCTACTTGCCATGAAAAATGTATGATCAAATCATATCATTCTCACTTACAGTACAGACATTTTTCAAGAAGAACTGAGCAGCAATAACTTACCATTACATCATTGCCTTTTACTAAAAATTGAGTGTTAAATGGCCCCGAAATCTCAAACGCCTTTGCAATTTTCTGAGTCGCAGTCTTCACCTGAAATAAGATGTATATATTTATAAAAATGACAAGCAATAACTCAAACTCTTTACATATGCACAAGCAGAACACATAGATCATAGTCTGAGTAATGCATGTCTTGTCAGATAAACACCAATCAAATATATAGCTTGAAACTACATACCAAGTACTAAAAGTTTGGTATCAACTCTGATAAACTGAGAGCGGATGAAAAGAGCAGCCTGTGACTGACTGCTGGCCCTCTGAGAGGCTGTTGGTAAGTTTGCAGGGAATAAACACGCTTTGTCAGATGTGTTTTAAGTAGCAGACTGCACAAACTATTTTTGACAGGCCCCTTTGATTCAGCTTGAAGGAGAATGAAAAGTCACATCTGCGGCTCGTGATAAAACACAATCAAGACCACACTATTCTGAAGAGAAAAAAAACTTTAGATTAAAAATGACACTGGCATTTTTTTAGACTAGCTGCAGATTTTGTTTCTGTTTAGACTGCAGTGTTTGTGCCAGCACAGAGATTGTCATTGTTACAATACTGCCAACTTGATTTCACCAAGTAGGACATGTTCCTGGATTAAAATCTATGTTGATCCTGGAACAACAACCCAATCAGCCAATCATAATTAAGGGCCTTGTGGGAATTTATGGTAAATTTAGGCTTACAGTTAGGTTTATGCACTTCTACTTGATTGTTATCCTCTGATTTTGGGAATAATTTAAAGTTATGGTTGGGTTTAGGGGTAGGGAATAGATATGGTTTACATTTTCTAAAAAACATGATGTTCCAGGATCAACATACCTGTAGATGTTAATCCAGGATTGTGAGGACGTGCATAACATTACAGAAATGTTCTGTTGAATTGTTTATTCATGAGGACAGTAAATAACCTGTTAAACTAAAAAAATAAGTGTGTTTGTTTAAAAAAAAAACACCTGATATTAAAACCTGGTACACCGTCAACAGCAAAAAAATGAAAAAAATAAAAATAAAAATAAAGAAGAAACAAACTGATATGCATAAAGTCAGGTTGAGTTTTAACAATAACCAATAAACCTTTAAAGATAGTTTTGTTCACTGACAAATGTGCCATTGTGACCAGTGCCATAGTGAGCAAAGCACGTTAAAATATATCTTAAGCTCCACCCCCCTTCTGCGAAGCACTGCAAATGATGTAATAAAGTCTTAAATTACTTTGTATACAGTGGTCCCTCTCTATAATGTCCCTCACTGTTTGCTGTTTAGCAGTGTTACGGATTTTTTTGTGCAATTTGACATGCTTTTTTTATTTTTATCTGTTTTTACAGTGCATTGTGTTCTGTGTCCTGATTGGATGTATACCATTGTTAATCAATCTCCCTTGTGTCTCTGTAAAGTACAGAATGTGTTTAGCCTGCCAAATTAAAATAAATCTTCCATTGCTAGCAGTGTGAGTTCCAACAATGATGCAAAAAGTGTAACTGTCCGGAGCAAGACCATCATAAAATGGTGACACACCGGATGCGCCACGCCACGATGTGCTTTGAATCTTTGTACATTGTTGCCGCAAGTTGGCAGCGGTATGCTGTGCCCAGCTATTACTCCGAATTTGAATCGCATACTTCAATATAGTACGCTACAATCAGTATGCGAGTCGAGCAGTATGTCCGAATTCGAAAATCAGTATGCGAGAAGTACCCAGAAGACCTACTTCCGGCGAAGATTCTGAATTATGCATCGGATGGACACTATCCTATTATGCCATGCGAGAGAATTCATGAATGGGAGTGAAGGTACTCATGCAGGTAGGTCACGTGTTCATGACAAAACGACGAATGTAGTACATCCGAGTTCCATTCATATTGCTCACATTCATACTATATAGATTGTACTTTTCTAACAGCTGAGTAGTTTGTTTAAACTCAAATGCAGTACCTACTGAGAAGTAGGTGGTTTCGCATGCAGCCAATGTCACAGAGCAGCATCTTAATAATATCATTTTAAATAACATGCGAGTGCACATCCAGTGTACGACCCTCTTAAGGATGGATTCTTTCGCTTTGTGTATCAGTAACTGCAGGAAAAAGAACATTATGCTGGATGCTACATAATCAGCACAAAATCTAAAAAGCTTTATGAACCTTTTGCTGATAGCAATGAATGTTTGCGCCTGACAACAGGTTTTGATCTTTGGTTTCATTCTATAATTCTGGCCTATTTTTCCAGGAAACTTTGAGAGTGTTTAAACAAGAGAGAAAAGTGTGAAAATGTCAATGCCTGTCTGAGATAAGTGTATAAAGTGTGCAGTTGGGGTTTTAAAGCCTTAAAACATCTATAAAAATAGTAAAAAATGAAGGGCCTATTGCAGGCTATTTTTACAACGTAACCCCCACGATAAATGAGGGACCACTGTATATGTAAAAACACAACCAAGAGGTTTTAGCCCTTTCCCTTATAGATACTGTTAAAGGGATAGTTCAGCTATTTACTCATTATTTATAAGCATTTATATATTTTTTTTTATTCTGTTGAACACTAAAGAAGATATTTAAAGAAGAAGAAGGCTGAAAACCCATAACCATTCACTTCTGTAGTAGAAAAACAAATACAATAGATGTCAATGGTTACAGGTTTCCAACATTCTTCAAAATATCTTCTTTTGTGTTCAAAAACTAAATGAAGGTGATTTGTAGGAGCCTTGTGAAAAATGTGGACTGGCAAAAAATAGACGTGTGTGACTGAACAAGGTGCAAACCAGAATGGACACAGCAAGCTTTTGTGAATGAAAATGAGGCTGGCACCTTCTCCAGAGCCCCCTGGCTGATGGTCTGGGTGGGCAGCATGAGTGTGGCGTCTCCTGAGTGCACTCCTGCATCCTCCACATGCTCTGTGATAGCATGAGCCAGAACCTGGAACCACAATTGTACATAAAAAGAGCTGTCATTTACTGCAACCCTTGTTTAGATATGCTTCATGAAAATCATGCATTGTCTCACGTACAACACTAGTGCTATACAATATATATATATATATATATATATATATATATATATATATATATATATATATATATATATATATATATAATTTTTTTTATTTTATTTTTTTATTGTTTTTTTTTTTATTTTTTTAAGAACATGTGGCACCCCAATCATCACTGTAGGGCCAGAACAGAATCTCCTGACTTTTTTTTTGCTATTTCTGCAAAGAATTTTGTAAAAAAATTAAATAAAATCTTTGAATTTATGCCGAATGATTTTGGGAGTATCAGAACTAAAAACTGAATTTATGAAATACTTTTTTAACTTTATTGTTTACAATGCAAATCCAGTTAGATTCAAACAAAGCAAGTTTCTTATATAATATATCTACTAAAAGACAGAAGATATTACTTTACAAACTGTATTGTAAACCAATCAAATTAAAATTTTCATATTAGTCAGTAATATTACTGAAATTAATATAAAAACAAAAAAATGTACACACATTTACACACAACTAAATAAATAGACTAAATAAATAGAATAAATGATTGTCTAAAAATCTGCAGAAATGTGTGGATTTCTGCGCTCACAGATTCCATGTGGGCTTAGTGATAAGCTAATCATACAAAATTGTACGAATGAGATCAAAGGAATTCATAAGAATTAGCTACTAAATCAAAGTTAAAAATTACTGTGAGATTGTGTTGAAATATCAAATTTCCTGACCTTTATTGTCTAAAAGGCTGAATTTCCATGACATAATGAAAAATAAATAAATAAACAGGTCACTGTTACGCATTAATACTAATAACATTAATAAAATGGTTTGAGCGCAAATATCATTTTGCTTGACTTTCATACCCTCTAAGAAAACAACAATAGATTTTGAAAATCATCTTGCTACTAACTGTTTGTGTGGCTGCGAAAACTCCCACTCCTATATTTGATAGCTTGAAAGTCATTTTACAAACACCCAGTTTTTGAAGTGGTCATTTTGAAGCCAAAGCTCCTATTATTTAGATTATCCTGACATATTAGCCAATAGCCATATTGAACAGGTATAGTCTGACTGCCAGCCAATAAGCTTGAAAGGGATAAAATGGAATGGAATATAGTCGGACCACAACAATAATAGTTATAGAAAAATACATAAACAAAAACTAAGATTTTTATCAGCAAACAAACAAAAACAATATTAAAAGGATGTATTTTTAAATGTCTGAAATACACTTTTAAAATACAATGATATTCCATAAATTTCAGGACTTGTGCATAATAACCGTGCAGTAAGCATCACATACTGAAAAACCACTGTAGTATAAGTTTAAAATGAGAAAGAAAAAGAACACATAGACTGTTATGATAAATCATGAAAATAGCAGATCGAAAATTCTCTAAAAAGTAAGTGTAGATTCTTTACTGAGTCGAGTAGCTTTACACCTCAGCCCTAGTTGTCAGATGAAAGTCAGAATGACAGTTGACAGATGAATGACAACTTTCTGCTACAATGAACATAACAGGTTTTACCTCAGAGAAGCAAGTACATATTGTATGTTCTACAGCGTTTCTGTTTACCTTGACTTATCACAGCTTGAGTGTTTTTGTGTGTGCGAGTCTATGGGTCGAAGTGACCTGCCATGCTTGTAACTTTTTACAAACATTAGAGCATGCAGTTTTGCACAAAAGCTTACTGTCAGTATACTTTATACATTATGTTTAAGTTTGTCAGCAAATGACAGTCCTTTGACATTTTAAAAACTTTCAAAGCTTAATGTTGGTTGCTATTCACTGCCATTATGCTCAATTGCAACAAGGTCATTCTTTTTTTTATTTTGTTTGACAAAAAAAAGAAAGAAGGGAATAGCTTGGATTTCAGGGTCAGTACATGAGCACTGTTTTTTTATTTTTGGGTAAATTAACCATTTAAAGTTTTAGCTAAGAAATATCATTAATTAATCAAGTAATTACTAGTTTGTAAAAGTAAATTCTCTAAGTGATTAAGTTTTGTTTTGTTTGCTTTTGTTTGGCCACTTTATTAGGTACACCTGTCCAACTGCTTGTTAACGCAAACCTATTGTATAATAAGCCAATCACATGGCAGCAACTCAATGCATTTTGTCATGTAGACATGGTCAAGAAGATCTGCTGCAGTCCAAATCGAGCATCAGAATGGGGAAGAAAGGTGATTCAATGACTTTGAAAGTGGCATGTTTGTTGTTGGTGCCAGACGAGATTGTCTGAGTATTTCAGAAATTGCTGATCTACTGGGATTTTCACGCACAACCTTTTCTAGGTTTACAGAGAATGGTTTGAAAAAGAGAAATTATCCAGTGAGCAGCATTTATGTGGGCCCAAATGACTTTGGGGCCAGACTGTTTTGAGGTGATAGAAAGACAACAGTAACTCAAATAACCACTTGTTACAACCGAAGTATGCAGAAGAGCATCTCTGAACACACAACAAATCCAATCTTGAAGCAGATGGGCTACAGCAGCAGAAGACTACACTAGGTGCCACTCCTGTCAGCTAAGAACAGGAAACTGAGGACAATTGAAAAAATAGAAGATTGGAAAAACGTGGCCTGGTCTGATGAGTCTCAATTTCTGCTGTGACATTTGGATGGTAGCGTCAGAATTTGGCGTCAACAACATGAAAACATCCTGCCTTGTATCACTGTTTTAGGCTGGTGGTGGTGTAATGGTGTGGGGGGTATTTTCTTGGCACTCTTTTGGCCCATTAGTACCTATTGAGCATAGTGTAAACACCACAACCTACCTGAGTATTGTTGCTGACCATGTCCATCCATTTATGACCACAATGTACCCATATTCTGATGGCTACTTCCAGCAAGATAACACGCCATGTCATAAAGCTCCAATCATATCAGACTGGTTTCTTGAACATAACAATGAGATCACTGTATTCAAATGGCCTCCTCAGTTACCAGATCTCAATCTAATAGAGCACCTTAGGAATGTGATAAAACGGGAGATTCACATCATGGATGTGCAGCCGACAAATCTGCAGCAACTGTGATGCTATCCAGTCAATATGAACCAAAATCTTTGAGGAATATTTCCAGTACCTTGTTGAGTTCATGTCAAAAGGGGGAAAACTTGGTACTAGTAAGGTGTACCTAATAAAGTGGCAGATGACTGTATATTTGATAGCAATTTCTAAAACAGTTTCAGTTGGGTATGAAGAGTCAGATTCAGAGTTCAGCCAATCATAAGGCTTAAATGCAATTCTGTGTCACAACACATTTTTCTATTAGTGTAGTTCAAAGCAAAACAGCCAACATTTAAGATTATACCCAGTGAAATGCAAAATAAACATGACTTCATACTTTTAATTGTACTCTGCACAGAGATTAGGTGAGAAATAATGGATGAAACAAAAGAGCCAGAACATATTGCAAGCAATTTTCCAGATGGAAGCAGCCTGAGCCATCTCTTATTTTATTTTTATTATGTGTGGGTGTGTGGAATAGAATAATGTTCTAAAAACTCTCATGCAATAAACTGCGTCCTCTACACTATCAAATCCACGATATAGCAAATAGCAACATGGATTTTTTATATTTTTTTTTTATTTAGCAAAACAATTTTAGACTATTTCAAAGTTAAATCAAACTTTCCACATTCCGCTTTTCAGTTTTAGACAGATTTCTGTTCAATAACTGTTGAAAAACAGTTCTAGCATCTCTCTTACCTTGCCCATCCTGGCCACCGCATCAACCTCCACCTCTCTGGCACCTCGGATGAATTTGGTGATGACCACAGGATGATCCTGTTTTAGAGAAAATGCTGTAAATGCTGGCTAAGAAATGTTTCCTAAGAATACTGCAATGACACTAAAAGCACTACATTGAAATCTAAATCAAAGATTCATTCTAGTTAAGCCCCCTTGTTAAGCTGTAAATTAAAAAGGATAGAGTTTCTGAAGTGCTTTGCTGAATATCTAACCGTCTCTTAAAGCCTGACTAACAGGCTCATCCTGTTACTTTAACAAACATAAATATAATGTTTTGCAGAACTAATGTTTTACTGTATTCTGTTTCTCAGTCTTATGACAGCCAAACAAGAGGTTTGACTACTGTACAGTGCATCTGGAAAGTATTCATATCACTTCACTTTTTCCACATTTTTTATGTTACAGCCTTTTTCCAAAATGGATTAAATTAATTTATTTCATCAAAATTCTACACACAATACCCCATAATGACAATGTAAAAAAAGATTTTTTTGAAATTGCTGCAAATTTAATAAAACTAAAAAGCCTGAAAATCACATGCACACACATTTTCACAGTCTTTGCTGTGAAGCTCTAAATTGAGCTCAAGTACATTCCGTTTCTACTGATCATTCTTGAGATGTTTCAGCAGCTTAATTGGAGTTTACCTGTGGTAAACTTAGTTGATTGGACATGATTTGAAAAGGCATACACCTGTCTATATAAGGTCCCAGGTTTGGCAGTGCATGTCAAAGCACAAACCAAGCATGAAGTCAAAGGAATTGTCTGTAGACCACTGAGACAGGATTTTCTCGAGGCACATGGCTGGCGAAGATTACAGAAAAAAGTTCCAATGTGCTCTTGACCTCAGACTGGGGTGATGGTTCATTTTCCAGCATGACAATAACCCAAAGCACACAGCAAAATATCAATAAAGTGGCTTCACAACAACTCGGTGACTGTCCTAGAGTAGCCCAGCCAGAGCCCTTACCTAAATCCTATCAAACATCTCTAGAGAGATTTGAAATGGCTGTAAACCGACGCTTCCCAACCAACGTGATAGAGCTTGAAAGGTGCTCCAAAGAGGAACGGGCAAAAATTCCCAAAAACAGGTGTGCCAAGCTTGTGGCATCATATTTAAAAAGACTCAAGGCTGTAATTGCTGCCAAAGTTGCATCAGCAAAGTATTGAGAAAAGGCTGTGAATACTGATATACATGTGATTTTTCAGGTTTTTTTAGTAATAAATTTGCAACAATTTCAAAAAACTTTTTTCACATTGTCATTATGGGGTATTGTGTGAAGAACTTTAAGGGAATAAATACATTTAATCCATTTTGAAATAAGGCTGTAACATAAAAATGTGCAAAAAGTGAAGCACTATGAATAATTTCCAGATGCACTGTACATAAAGTTAAAACTAGATTACTGTCAATTTTGGCTTATGCACTCAATATTGGCCCATTCATGGAAAACATGATGATAAAGTGATTTTGCTGGAAACTACTGAACTTTCTTAAATAAAATACTGTAAGGGGCAACAGGAACACAGGATGAAAATCAATACTGGCCCTGAGATACATGATAACTGGAGCTGCTGCAAATGTGCTTTGTTTGCCTTTAAAAAATTGTAAGTGCTTTGGAGTATTTATTTCCACAGGATATATTTGAGGAATCATTTCAAGAGCATTCATGTGAGTTAATGAGCAAAAATTGGTGCATATTCTTGCCTAATCCATTGCTTGATTCATATGACAAACCCAAAGCTCTTCACTCAAGTTTTTTTTTTTTTTTTTTTTTTTTTTTTTTTTTTTGTGGCAAAGGTCCAAATGGCTAAATCTTCAGAGCTCACCTGTGAAACCTGTGTGGCTTCCTCCAGGAAACGTTTCATCTCATCCTCACCGTAAACCACATTCATAGCTGAGCCACTGAAAAAGGAGAAAGTCTCATCATTCATCACGTTGACACTTAAATGAACCCATCAGGAAATAATATAAAACAAAAAACATGCTTCAATGGTTGTAGAGTCAAATAGAAAAGAAAGGAAGATATGCAGAAAGAAAGAGGCAAAAAGCCGACAAGAGAATTATATTTGGGTCAGCTGCTCCTCTAGGCGATCAGCAATGAATTTTTTCATATTAAGAGAGGGGATTTTTTTTTTTTTTTTACTGATTTTGTGGGTGATTCTAAAGGCATCAGCCCTGCAGCTCACATTGGTGGTATCACTAGATGTCTATGACTGACAGTAAGTCTTAAAATAAATAGACAAATCATCAAACAATGATTCTGTCTCACTTTACAAAAAGGTTTCATTAGTCAAGGTATTTACTAACATAAACTAATTATGAACAAAGACTATAGAATACACAAGACATGTCACTGGTATAGTTTTTCAATGGGAAAAAGTGTAACAATCAATATGGCAAATTAAGCCCCGCCTACTTGTACAGGAGCCAATCGTCGATCGCTATAGACTGCCGTGTCTCCAGGGGTGAAGCTTGGACCAGATGCTAGCTTTTACGAAAGTTTATGAGGTCAAAAAACACTGGAATTTTAGCGAATACTTGTTTCAGACATAAGAAATATATCCAAATAAAGCTTGAACAATACTTTTAAATGAAAACACTATAGTTGAAAACATAACTTTTTTTTTTTTTGTATTCTGTTTGAAACGAACACAAGATATTCAAACGCACCTGACAGCAACAACTCAAATGCCCACAGACCTTTAAACAGTGGCTGTCATTTCTGGAGTAGTCTCGCCATCAAGACCAATTATAAACCATTGTTTATTCCTGTCAGCTGCCTGCCTTTTGACTATCCACCTGTTTTCTGACCACGACTGGATTTTCTCTCCACATCTGTTTTCCCCTGTGCTGATCCTTGCTTGCCTGACTATTCTTGTTAATAAACTTGCAATTTGAATCTGCACGTCCTTGTCAGTGTCCCATCACTTTACAATTCCTCTCTTCTAATTTTTTTTGTTTGTTTTTACAATTGATCACCAATGCACTTTTCCAAACACTTAAAATTGTAAATAATTTGTGCCACAACTTTAAGGCAAGTCAGATTAAGCTGTAAAGCCATCAGCACTACAGTACATCTTTTTTCACAATGCATAATTAAACAGATTTATACATGCAGAATAAATGATCTATTTAAAATTTATGATTTTATCTTGAAAACCCAGAATTTATTATGAACACTTCCAGCAGATGGAAGGTGAGTAGATCACTTTATCAAACTGCAAAAGGCAAACACTTCAAACAATGTGGTCATTAATGGCAAGTGTATTATGTCAAACCACACATTTCTAAGAGAAATACATTTCGACTTGTGGGACATAAAATAAAATGAACACAGATGACAGCTGCTTACCATTGTGCAATGGAATCAACAGTCAGCTATATATTTCACTAACACAGTAAAGTGAACACAAAAAGAGGAGGGGGAAATACTGAGTCAGCCCTACAGTATGTGCATCTCTCCAGTATAACTGTTCCACCATGGTCCAGATGAACAGGCAGTGTTTCTGTCAGGGATGAAGTTGCTGAGAGTCTGAGCTTAAGGCACGAGTTTAGGCAAACCACAGCTTGCACCAAACACAGAGAGGGATGGAACCATACAGAGCAAAAAATATTCAAACAAATAAAAGAAGTAAAAAAATATATATATATATAGATATATATATCTTTTTTTGGCAGTTGGAATTTTCTTAAAAACTAAAAGCAAATCACTTTCACTGCTGAGACTGTACTGTTCTGTGTGTGGGTGTTTGTTTGTACCATATAAAGATTTTGATAAAGATAAATGGATGTGCTAAAGCGTTTTGCTTTCATTTGGCTTTACTTGCATGTGTTGCAAATCTAATTTCAATAAAATCAGATTAAAATGTGCTTTCTGTTCTTTCCACTTCCTCAACATGTCAGTTTATTTCAGTGTAAGAAAAAGAAAAAAACGTAATAGGTCTTAAAGTAGACAGTGGCCTTTAATTCAATATCTAATGAAGACAAATAGAAAAGTGCTCCAGTGATGAAAGAGATTTTATGAGTGAGATGTGTAATGGCTAAAAGGCAGAATTTACAGCTATTACTGGGTGACTTGGTTTAATTTTCCCATTGAGGCATTCAATCTAGAACCCCGCTGTCTGGTTTTGTGGAAATTAGCTGGTCAAGTCGTGTTTCTTAGAAAGTGAATGAGATGCATCTTACCCGGTATCTCTACAGGCCACCATTAAGAATGTCTGAAGTGGATTTTTATTTTTATTTTTTTTGCTCTTAACAAATCAACCGTTGATTATGTCACATTGTTTTTTGTTTAGTTCAGGGTAACCTACTTAGTAATATTGGATATATCTCTAATTATTAACTGAACCAAAAACAAAAATACTGCCATTATTTGACTAATTTTGTGTTGTTCTAAACTGTCATTAGCCCATTTCACACAAACAGACCTTTCCAAAAAATCTACCGGCAATTCGTTTCAGCAATTTTCTGGAAAGAGAAGTTGTAACATAACATCTATGTGAACGAAGAAGGAAAATTGCCGCAAAGAGCACGCTCACATTTATAACGCGCTGATGTGAGACGTCTACTCCAGCCAATCAGACACATTCACATCCACGCCGTTTATGAAAATAAAAGCCTTTTAATATTTTTCCAGACACATTTAGCTGCTAGATTTTAGTCAGACGTTTCTATGTTCATTATTAATGCCAACTGTGTAAAAAATTTTTTATCAAATACCTATGATAAACCGCAGTTTGTTTACCTTGAAGCTCTGCTTCAATTGCTTGACACGTGTGCATGTGAACCAGCCGGTGAGTGCCTGCGCACATACATATATATATATATATATATATATATATATATATATGTATATATATATATATATATATATATGTATATATATATGTAGTTTTCCCCACCCACTGAACTGACTGACAGAAGCGTATTATCATGTCTCTGTAGTAATGTCTAAGAATCTGGGATTAAAAGATCTGGGGCCTCATGTACGAAGACTTGCGTGGAAATCTTACTAAAACATTGCGTACGCACAAAGCTGTAAATGTGCGTACGCAGAAAAAATTTCAGATGTATGAAACACTGCGTACGCCGAATCTCACGCATATTCTTTTGTACATCTGAATGAACGTGAAACTGAGCGCAACATGCACGAGCACAAAACCCCTCCCTGCCTCCTCCCCCGTATGAATATGCTAATGACTATGCTAATGGAAAAACCCAACGAAAAAGCAATGGCAAAAGCAAGCAAAAAGAGAAACTTTGAACAGAATGTGAATTGGAGGTGCTTTCAGAGGTAGACCGGAGAAAAGCGGTGTTATTTGCAAGTTTGTTCTCCGGAATTAACAATAAAAGAAATAAATAGAGCGGGAGAGTTTAGCTGATGCGGTTAACACAGTTGGGTCTGAACATCGCACTGTGCATTGAAAAAAGAAATATTGTGGTTTATATCTGTAAAATGTTGCAGGATGGTTAACAGTCTCAGTGGCGCTACTCGTAAGACCCATGTGAACAGGAATTGATACGTTCGAGCATGAACTCGGCTCGAATCCAGCGTCTGATGAACTCTTTCTTGTTTTTTCCCCCGCTACATATCAGATTTTGTCAACTATTTATCACGAGAAAGACAAGTAGGAATCATTAATAAGTTCATATCAATAAGCATCATATTTTATTTGCACATTTATTGAATGGAAATGTTTCTGATTCACGCATGCAAATTCATCTTCAGATAGGTATGTAAGATTTCCATACCATACAGTTGACCAGCTAAACATTAAAGCACAATTTGCAGCAGTCGCCTGTTTTCCCAATGTAATCTGAGCGATCTACTGCACGCACATTGCTATTAAGACACTATCTGAAGATGAATTTGCAAGCGTGAATCAGAAACATTTCCATTCAATAAATGTGCAAATAAAATATGATGCACAAACTTATTAATGATTCCTACTAGTCTTTCTCATGATAAATAGTAGGCAAAATCTGATATGTAGCGGGGGGAAAAAAGAAGAAAGAGTTCATCAGACGCTGGATTCGAGCCGAGTTCATGCTCGAACGTGTCAAAACATGTTCACATGTGTCTTACGAGCGCGCCACTGAGACTGTTCAGAGTGCTGTAACATTTTACAGATATAATAATATTGAATGGAAATGTTACTGATTCACGCATGCAAATTCATCTTCAGATAGTGTCTTTATAGCAATGTGCGTGCGGTAGATCGCTCAGATTACAATGGGAAAACAGGCGACCGCTGCAAATTGTGCTTTAATGTTTAGCTGGTCAACTGCATGGTATGGAAACCCTATATACCTGCTGAACCCGTCTCATACAGCTGCCATTGCAAGGCTCAGACACTTTGTAGAGAGCAATTTAACACAACTGCCTCTAGGAGTCGCCAATGGAAATAAAACAGACAAGCACAAAAAATGTGCGTACGCCTGCCAGAAAGCTGCCGTGAAGTTGCGCACATTCCCACGTTCAGTTCATTGTTAGTAAATCCAAACGTGAGCGATTCTGAGCGTGAAACCTGGCGTACGCAAAGTTTTTGTGCGTACGCAGCGTTGATACATGAGGCCCCTGTTCAATTCTCGGTGATTTCTGTGATCAGCTGCACCTTAAAAATCAGTTGTTTTTAAAACTGAGCATGTTTGTAATAAAGACTGTAAAATTGCTATATAATTCTGGAATCACCAAATCTGCATAGTGTCAGTACAACAATATACAAGAAACAATAATATGCGAGATATCTGATGAGTATTTTGAGTTGAAACTTTACAGATACATTCTGGAGACACCAGAGACTTATCTTACATCTTGTAAAATAGGAAAAAACGAGCTTTTTAAGCAAAAACATAAATTTAAAATAATTATTAAAGTCTCAGATGGTAGTTTTGACTTTTAAACAAGCTGCCCAGAAACATCTTGCTCTGTCAAACAGACATATAAAGGCATCATATGGGAAACCAATTGTAAAACTGGTCATCCATACTGTACACATGTCCTGAATTCACTGTTCCCCTTGTACTCACCTTAGGACGTAGGATGGCCTCAGGAGGCAAGGGTAGCCCACATTACTGGCAAACGAAACCGCATCTTCCTGAAAAAGACAGCAATCAGCAACATCAAATCACCTAGTCTGTGTATTAGATGAGGTCAGACATCTTGTGCTTTTTTCTCCATTTGTGTCCCAGGTATGGGCAAAGGGCTATACAATTACCACTGACCACATTTAATTACTTTGCTTTTAATACTTTGTGAACTTCTTCACAGAGTGAAAAACTATTAGATCAAATGACTCCCAACCTAAATTATCAGCAAGTGTAATTGTTTTTAGATGATTGTAAGATATATGGTCGGACTTGAGCTAAACTATACAATTTATATTGAAGAATAATATAATAAAGTAAGAAAGGGGACCTATGATGCAACTTTTGGGGCAACAGTCTGTGTATATAACCAGATTCTAGGGCAGTGCGATTAATTAAAATCATATCGAAATCGTGATTTGAACATGTACTATTTCTAAATCGTCTTACAGCACAATTTTTTTCTACCTCCAGTCCTGACTAATACTCCTCCTGCAGTGTGTTGTTTCAACCAATCATAACTCAACGTGCCTAAACAGAGCACAAGAACAGGAGACTGAATAAGCTGCATAAACAGGTATGATGAATTCAGCACAGGAGGATTTGGTCAAAGACTATAGAATACACAACACATGTCATTTGTATCGTTTTTGAATGGGGGAAAGTGTAACAGACATGTGGAGAGGTAAGCATGATCGAAAACCCGATGAGGGGGGTGAGCATGCTCAGAGCCCGGCGGCTAATCAGCAGGCCAATCAGAAATAATAAATAACACCTGTTTATTCTAGTGATTGGGCCGGAGAGAAACCCTTCTTAAGAAGATCAAAAGGAGCAGCCGGGGAGGAGTGAGAGCACACACACAAAGCTTCAAGTGTGGTGCAATTTAAATATAATAAAATATTTTGCTCAATTGAAACGCCGACCAGGGCTGTTTCTCAATTCCAAGAACGCAAAGAATGGACTTGCGTTCTTGTGGAGACCGGTCTTGCCAGGTGTCCTCGGAAGAACGAACTCAGGAGACCGCGAGGGCAGAGAACGCGTCCTTTGAGAAATGAGATGCTGCGTTCTTCCTGATGGTCACGTGACCTTCAAGGGTTTTAAATGGAAATTATTTAAACATTACAGCACTCATACAAAGATTTATTGTTTTTCCCCTCTTCAAAATATATACTTTGCATAAAAGCATTTTAAATATACCCTGCACAATATAAATAAAACCAAATTTAATACGAATTTCAGCAAACAAACACCCTTAATGTGTTTATTCCTTTATTAAGATGTTCATGTTAATGTTTACTTTCACCGTTTCATTTAGGGAAAGTCCTGAGGTAAATAAATTATAACTCTGAACTTTAATAATAAATCTAAATAAAATGCTGCTCTTCCCATCTCCAGTCGCAATGACTTCTGGGACTTCCAGAGCGAGTTTGGTGCTGAAGTCTGCATCAGTGTGTCCTCTATCAAGAACACATCCGGGAAGTTTCACACGTTCTCCGTACTTGCGGTCTTGAGTATTGGAACTGAACTTAGGCAGCTGATGATGACGTTGCACGAGAACACGAGGACACAAGACCGCTGGAGAACGCATATTGAGAAACAGCCCCTGTGTTCTTCTTCCCACAACAACAAACTTTACTACAGGACAATATGGCAAATAAAAGCCTGCCTTTGAGTACAGGAGGCAATCATCGATCGTTATATTGAGAATAAAGCCTGCCTTCTAGTACAGTAGCCAATCATCAATCGCTATAGATTACTCTGGGAGAGGGGCTCAGACCAGACGTTTCTGCAGATTTTGAGGGATTCAGATGTTTAGAAATGAAACTAAAGAGACAGTTGTTGTTTTATGTTATGGGTGATTCCTAATATGAAATTCAATCATAAGCAGTTTTGGAGAATTTGATGTTTCCTCAGTCAAACAGAATGGCCGAGCATACTGCCCGAGAGGCGTTTCAAAGTTGGACGCCAAGTGAAATGACTTGTCTTAATGGGACTTTGACTTAGTGCCCAAAAAAGTTCAACATCTGTGGTGTGGGATTACGTTGTATACAGGAAAGCTGATGTACGCAGAACCAGGTAATTTGAAACACCTGTCAGTCACATATCGTGTCTAAAAGCGTGTGGAAAGTGTGAGCAAACTAATAGAACAATGCTGCAGTTCCTATACAAGTTTTCTTTATGGAGAAAATAGAAAAGCACTGGGTGTCTGGGTGATTTGTGTTTGTCTGAAGTAATTATTCTACTGAAATGTGTTTATCTTATACAAAGTATGAAACTAATCAATCAGTTCTTGTTACGTAAATCGCAGTGCGGCATTCTAATGCTGCGTTTACACCAAACTCGGAAGAAGCACCAAGCGCGAGTGATTTACATGTTAAGTCAATGCAAAGACACGAACAGACATTCTGCGGTGCGATATGTGCGAATTAGATGGCGCGAATGACACAATTCGCACGAATGAAGCAGCGCAAGTTGAGCGTGTTTTGCACGATTGATGCGCATATCACGTGTTTTGTGAAAGACGCTCGAGTTTGAAAATCTGAACTTCAGTGGACATTCACGCCACGTTAACCAATCAGGAGCTTGCTCTTGTGGGGGCATGATTATGCCGTAGTTATGACGTAGCACCTGTTGTTGGTGTCCCGGAGGAAAATCCTCCTGCCTACACCAACAACAGTTCATCAAACTGAGCTCAGCTCAGTCAGAAGCAACGCTGAATGCTTCCATCATCCAGGCTAAGTTTCTGAGCTCACAGAGCTGGATGCACCTCTGAACGAATCTAGTGGATTCAAACACGGATCTAAATGAATCAACGCTGTTTTTCAGACTTCATAAAGCACATAAAAACAGTTTTTTTCTCAATAAAATCCATGATAGTCGTTTGGCAATGAAACTACAGTCACCAGGCAGACAGATGCCCTGCCCTTGACACGAATCCGCGATATTGCTCAGTGAATTTGACTCACGAATAAAGCGTATTTGATGCGTGAATGAAGCGAGCAAACTCAAAATGTTCATGCGTCAATTTACACGGGAATAGCACAATTTATCTGTGCGTTCCGCATCTGGAGTGAACAAAGCTTAAAAAGGTAACTCAGTGCGCCTGGAATATGCAAGTGCGTCACTCCCAATATGCGCATGCATCTCCATCGGAAAAACGGACTAGTGCGTGCAAAAAACACAATACATGAACAGCTTTTACAAGGGCAAGGTCACAAAAAGGTCTATGATTTATGCATAACAAAAAAAATCTGTGGACACAGAAAAGTACACGCAACTACCGGATATGTGGTTAAGCAGAACATCAAAGCCTTACTTAAGTTTGACGGCGCGCACACACAGTAGTCTATTTATATTTATTTTTTGCCATATGTCTAGGGAGACAATTTGTTGCACCTTTACTAGGAGATTTTTTTTTTTTTTTTTTATGTCTGTTTTAGAGACACATTACAGGTCTTTGATAAAGATCTAATTGTTTTTCTTTGCAAATATGTTTCAGATTCAGACTGTAAAATGTGTGTCAAAATCGTGATTACAATTGAAATTGCAATATTGTTCAGGAAAATCCTGATAGGTTTCTTTTACCCATATCCCTCTGCCCTACCAGCATCTAATGGTAATAATGTATTAATTTATTTTTTTATAATCACACTTTATAAAAAAATATGCAGAAACACTTGATTGACATTCTTTGTAGGTGTCATCAGAGAGGGAAAACTCCACTCACTAGTGATAATCTCTCCCTCATTAGCATAGGATGTTAGTTTTGATTTTTTAATCTGGTACGATGCTGACACTAGAGGATGATATTTTTTTGGGGAATCCCATGGGTAACTGGATTCCCCCGGGATAAGAGTCATCTTTGCTTTTAATCACAGCATTGGAATGGTACAGGATAAAATAGTTAATGGGAGCAGACAGGAGTGGGAATCAAAAAAAAAAGATGACATCACCATGACATCAACATGCACTGTCATATTGTAGTTTCCTTTTCGAGTTTTCCTCCAATTACAAAGCATCGAAAATAAAAAAAAGAACTACACGACCCAGAAGCCATCAGTGCTGGAGGGAGCCAATCAGAGGTAATGACATGTCCATTAAATTAACAGAACTAGTCAGGAAGTCAAAAATATTAATAAAGTTCATGAGACAAAACTGTGACCATGATAGCACGCCATACACTGCTAGTAAAATATGCTTAATCTTAGTCAAGTACACCAGTGATTTAGGGACGAGCTGTCTGAAATGGCACACTTGCAAGGCAAATTCAGGAAAAAATCAGCCAAGCATATTTTTGTCCATTGGGTGTTAAGTCATGTCTGACAGACAAAAGTGCTCGCAACCGTCATAGGTTCAGCGTTTTCATTTAAAGTACATTAGTAGATTGAATTGAAACTAGAATTATAGTGTGCATGTATGGTGGTGATTGATGAATACTGGAATATCTGCTGTTAACTTTTGAATGTGCCTAACTTTCTCTATGAACCAGAATCATACTGAATGTTTTCATATATTTAAGATGCATATAACATATATATGGGAGCGGTACAGGACCGGGAGTCATTTTAAACACGAGTGGAATGGGAGTGGGAGTCATTTTATCTGGAGCGGGATGGGACAGGATTATTTTTTAAACTTTGGCCTGGGAGTGGGACGGGACAAGATTTTTATTCATTTTTTTTTTTTCTGTGGGAGTGGGACGGGACAGGAGTGAAAACCCACTCCTGTATCATCCTCTAGCTGACATTTAAAGCTCCTCCCTCTTTTGAAAAGAGGTCTGAGAGAACAATCTCATTTGAATTTAAAGTGACAGTGACCAAAGTGGCACAATTAGGATCAAAGCCTAAAATGGGCAGAGTTATAAAATGTTATCTGTGTGGTATTATAAGCTGAAACTTCACATACACACTCTAGAGACATTAGAGACTTAATTTACATCTTGTAAAAAGGAACAATACTAATGCAATTAAATCTATAATCAAATATTGATAATATTATAAGTGTGCCAAAGCAGTCCTAAGATTCCAGTCCTCACATATTTGTTATTTACTTTATACCTGACAATATTTTGAACTCAAACCTTTTGATTGAGCAAAATTTATCACTGCATCACCTGCTTTGACGTCAGTACCAACAGTTCCAAGCCTTTTTACATGACAGATGTGCTATGCACTTTATCAAAAGTTGTGGCTAATTAGCGCCTTCAACAATGCATAAGATAGTGGTTATGCAGTAAGAGAAGTAGATTAAGAAATGCACCCCGAGTTAGGAATCCATAGAAATACTGTGTGACATAAGGAAGCAACAGAACACTGTCCATCTAGCCAGAAACAGCACACTGAACAAACCGAAGAATCCCAACAGATTCTGCTGATCTCTACTGCTCTTCTGGCTTGTTTTAACAACAGGGAGACCATTAAAATGCTGGATGTACCCTCAGCAGCAAGACCGAGACCAGCGGAGGGTGAGTGGGCAGCGCCGTGGGGCAGAATGCCCTTTCTCTCCCCCTTCATCACACCGACTTCAGCTCTTCGCTTCCATGGCCCGCGGCAAGAAGGCTGGATGTAGCTAACGGACGAGCGAGCATGCTTCCAGTCAACATGTTTCTGCACTTCTAATGTTTGCTGTTTAAAAGCACTCTGCTATCTCTGGAGGATTTGGGGTGAACGCAGCATTTGTAAAAGTGAAGAGTCCAGAAATGTACAGTAACTATATGGGTGATTTCTTGAAAGCAGGGAATGAATGGAGCAATGAATGATTCATTAAATGAGAAAATGCGCAAGAGAAGCAGGTGGTATTCATTATTACTGCAAAATTGCATCTACTCAACTGACCTCCTTACCATTACTTTTTTCCTGGAACGTGACGTGCATCGTAAAGATGAAAGAAGAGAATGAAATTATTCAGGGTTAAACTAAAACCACATTATTTACATATTTAACTGCAGTTTTCTTAATCACTTTCTTTTATTTATTTTATTATTATGCTATAGTCGATTATTTGCGTTTCTCTTCTAAATATTGTTTGTTTTGAAATATTGTTGATGCTTGAAGTTATAAATGTGTTTGATTCAGATTGTCAGAAAACGGCAGCTAATTTAGTTTTCTAGATTGGAACAGTTAATGTCTTACTGATTATTTGTATATTTTATACTGTATCTCTGATGGATAACCATCAATAAAAAACCCAAAGTTAAAATAAAAGCATGTAAAATTAAGAATCAGTCCTCCATCTATACTAAAATAAACCACAGAGGGCCAGATTTGTTGAAGACTTACAGTATGCTAATGACAAATCTTCTTGGGTAATGAAAAACTACTTTTAAAGAGCCTCTATTGTGGGCTTTGGACAACTACCTTCCACGCAGTTTGCAATACAGCTTCAAGTGTATGAAAACATCCAGCTGAGGTTTAAATCTGAAAGTGCACTTTGTTTAAAAATTTAGATTTTTTAATAAAAGATTTGTCCGTTCGTGCGGATCTTTTGCCTGTTCGTATCGACGTCCACCCAAAACAATACCAAATATGTTCTGTGCCGGATCCGGTAAAACATGAACGCTCCTTTTCCTTCAAATGCTAGCAGAGTCAAGGTGTGTGTGGGACTAATCATGACTGATCACAGTGATTAATGCAATAATCTACCCTGCAATGGCAATTCATTGACCGTTCGTTAAAAGAAAGAATTAGAAAAGACTATTGATGTACGGGACTTTGTCAGAGCTTGACAGGAACTTTATCAGTACACAGTTCAAGGATCAGTTTCTTCCTCTATTTTCACAAGTGTAATTAAGTGTGATTGAAATGGCTGCCTCCTTGTTTTCTCTAGTTTAAATATGTTTTCAATTGTGTTTTGTTACTTGTAATCGCTCAATGCGGCTTGTACTGTTTCTGGTTAACTCTTTATATTCTCATATCACGTCTAAGGCCCGTTTACACTGTCAGGTCTTGATGCCCAATTCCGATTTGTTGCCTAAATCTAATTTGTTTGCCTGTCTGTTTACACGTTGTTTTAATTGTGACCCATATCCAATTCATGCGTTTATACAATTTACGATGTTGCGCATGCACAAAGGCGGATTCTAGCATCTGTGCCATGATGATATGTATAATCCATTTATAAATAATAGTTTTGTTTGCGTCTAAACATCCACACAAAATATTCGTATTAATTTGTCGTACCATGGATATTTTCTCAAATTGTCATTAAATGTGGAGCTAACAAATTACTAGATAAAATAATTTAATCGGTTGTCATCAGTTAAACAAGCCGAGTCCTTGCCAGAAGCGGCCCGGACTCTACACACAGACTCGGGCCAGATATGGTTAACAGGAATCATCACAAATGGATGTACGCGACCGAGCTGAGTGCGGTAGTCACTCGCCGATGCTCGAGCTTGGGCCGATTACTACCTGCTATCTGGGACTAGCCACGATGGAAGAAATTGTCTTGTTTTAGCTTTGCGAAATATGCGAAGTGTAGTAAAAGCAGTGAATGGTTCAGTCCAGATTTACCCCTACACAGTTTATGTAATGGTATGGCCCTGATGTGTGTGTGTGTGTGTGTGTGTGTGTGTGTGTGTGTGTGTGTGTGTGTGTGTGTGTGTGTGTGTGTGTGTGTGTGTGTGTGTGTGTGTGTAGTTGAAGATGTAGCTTTTGCCTGTGTGCGCAGTGCTGCGCACTGGTGTTGAAGAGAATAAAGTTGTTCTATGTGAAGCCCGCAGTGCGTGTATTAATAGCGACAAAAAGCAAAAGTTACAACACGAAGTTCGCCCAAATTTATAATGGAATTTGTGGGTAGGAGAGAGGTCTCAGGTCTTGTGGGAGCAAATTGTGGCGATTGACCACTTTCCTCCACTGTGTTTTCTCTAATGTTGTTTATCGCGTCGGTATCTCCACACACGCTCTTCCTTCTGTCATTAAACTACGGAGAAGCACCACATTATCGCAAGTTTAATGAGGTACAGAACGAAATGCCTCAATAAATCGGATCTGCCTGTTTACATGACAGTCGCATTGTCACATATCCGATCTATATCTGATTTATTTCCACATTTGAAGGAGGCCTGAAACCGATCTCCTAATATCCGAATGCATGCATTTTTTTTCGTGTTTACACGGTCATACAGTAGAACATATCCGATCTGTGTCACATATAAGCAAAAAATCGGAATTGGGTCACATTTAACTGGCAGTGTAAACGGGGCCTTAAACTTCGTTAAAAATTAGGTCCGTGCCGCTTTGTTTAAGGAATTACATGCGTTTGTGAGCCTCTGCTGTTTGTCATTGCTTTGAGCACCGTTCCGACACACATGTGGTGGTCCAGTTTCAAAATAGATCAGCTTTCGCCACTGTGTGGATTAATACTAAATGTGTGTCGTTGTTTTTATGTATGGTTAAGAACAGAACAATATGCTGATGCTTAACTGCATTGCTTTAGTGCACTCCTGCATTGGGCACATATACTCTGCACTCTGACTGTTTCAACAATGTTGATAAGCCGTGGTGGGCGCTTCTCTCTGTCTTGCGCTGAACGCAGTCGACCAATCGCAACAGACTGGGTCATCGGACAAATCATCACAGATTAGCATTGCGCTATGGAGGGGTTTGGGAACAAATGAATCGCTAAACAAATCATATGGGAGTTGTTGGAATAATTAGGCAGAATTAAATGCATATTATAAGACAATGAAATGTTTTTGACCTTGCATGCATATCAGCCTGTTGCTGAAGACCCCCAAAACATGACCTTTTTAATGCAGATTATGGGCTCTTTAAGAACACTATAAAAAGGCATGTACAAGCATTTGCATTTATAGAATTCTCCCTTTTAGATGCTAAATGTATGGGAGGACAGTTTATAAGTCTATTTATTAAGGTTTCCGGTAGTCACAATAATTTGTATCATTCATTGTTTAGCAAGTGTAACTGTGCTTAGCTTACCAGTGAGCTGAGAGCCCTCCACGGTGCCTGGCCAACACCCAGATCATCCAGTATGGAAGAGAATACAGATCTTTCTTCAGCACGATCAATTTGAGCAGGGTTAGTTCCTAGAATCTTCACCCCGTTCAGGTGCAGGGGCATGGCCAGATTATTGGGGATCTGCCCACCCACAGATACAATACAGCCGGTGCAGCCCTGTGGAGGGATGGAAACTTTCTTTTATAAAACTGACAATCCACATGAATTCTGATCAACACTGCAGTTTATTCTGGTCAAGAAGCAGCCCACACAGACAGTGAGGAAAAAAGTCTGACCCGCATGCTAAGTGACCATAAAGTGAACAATAGAGAAGCACAGGGGGGGAAAAAACATATATAAAATAAAGAGCAGAAAAAAATAAATAAATAAACATTTTTTGTCAACAATGGGCTACATGCACAGCTAGAGTTTTTCAGCTAATGATAAGCTTCCGGTGAAAGCTTAATATGACTATTTTTAATTTCACAGGGTTGCTTTTACAGCATCCATGTTGTAATGTAACTACAATACATTCAGTTAAATAGACTTAGACCGTGTAACCACTAAAGCCGTCAGGATCAGCAGGCGAGTGTAGAAACTTCATTGAAAATACTAGGGTAAAATGAAGTCATATTATAAAGACAGGGAGAAAGGGAATTTAATGCAGTGCTTTTTGTCCTGTCTAAAACCCACTTTTAATTGTATATCTAACAGGAAGTAAAGATCACTGATTTTTAAAGAAATCAGATCTTACCCAGAAAAAAAAATTTGTGTCTAATAGACATCTAAACGTAGACAGATTGGCTAAAACAAGGCTAAACTTGGGCTGTCAGTGAAAATCTAACAGACGTCTAAGAATAGGCCAAAACTAGACTAATCATCAAATAGACAGATTAGACTTTATAGTTGTAGTCATTCTTTTCTGTTTATTTGATTACTTCATGACAACTGTGAGTGGGTGAACTTTTTTTTATCTGTTTCATTTATATTAAGTTATATTAGGTCTGCATAATTAAGTGACAGCATAATTGAGTGACAGCTAGGTCTCGCTGGTCGCCGTCACTTCACCTCATCTGATTCCGGCTGACTAGCCGCTGAATTCGGCATATACATTGTATATTTGTTTTAAGTGACTTTACACAGTCAATTGCTTTTTGAAATTTTTTCTTACAATTATCAGATTTATTTATTTATTTATTTTTTTGCATTATAACACAATTACAATAGGGCAAAATTTCACCTACATTTATAGAACAGAGCACAAATAATAAAATCAATAAAATAGTAATACAAAAGGATACACTTAAACCATAGAATAGACACACAAACACAACTAAAAGGAAAAGAAAAACATTTACACCAGGTCTCTTATTAATTTACATTTTATCAATAAACTAAACAGTCTTCTTCCACATTTTGATTGTAGCAGCTTTAACGATTTAAAGTATAACCAAAATTCCTTTTGGAAAACTAAAAATAGTGGTTTTGTTTTAAAGCACTTGCATTTATCAATATAAAATTTCCCCAAAATTAGAATATTGTTCAATACAAATTGAATATTAACATCTTTCCCTAATAAACCAAAGGAAAAATCATTTTTAGAAAGATGATATGGCATGCTATGTGCACTTAATTGTGCTCACAAACCATTGAAGTGGCCTCAGTTTCAAAACACTTAGCTGATGATTGATAATAAAGTATATTTGGCATGCTGTCCTGTTAGACAGCCCTGAGCTCAGAATATCCTCGAGCCCTGATATCAGCTATATGAGTCAAAATTCTTCTTTGTACTAGGCTGCAAACACCTTTTTTTCCTGCTTTAAAGTTGGCCATTTTAACAGTGGGCTCAAAAGAACTTTTGAACTCAATTATGGAGCCAAGACTAGCGGAATTTCGATGAATTGCAGTTTTAATTATTTCCACATTTGTTTTATGAGGGAGAACAGGAGGTTGCCGCTTGGTTTATACCAGTGGATTTACTTTGTACTGTTTTTGTATTTTAAAAGAAAAATGCTTAAATAACATAGAAAAAACTACCATGACAGATTTATTAGCCACAGGCATTCATTTGTAAACCACCTCAAAAATATTCCTTTAAAACCATAACAATTACTTAAAGTCCACATACATCTGCCAGATGACAGGTACATTTCATAATTACAGTTTTGACTCTGCAATTTAACATACGATGGATTTCATCAGTCCGAGATCAAAGGCTGAAAATTCTGCTGCTTATGAATTTCAAATAATATGACAAAAAGTTTGTTTTAACCAAAGAATGTTTTAATCAAAGCGCCGGTCTGACAGAGAAATGACTATCATCATTGCTCATTCACTGCATGAATTCACAGTGATTTTTTTTTCTCTCTTTATAAGCATTGCTCAATGTAGACTTTCATCAACTGGTGTTCTCTCTCATTATATTGGATCCAGAAGCTTTTGGGACATGACATGGCGTTATTTTACACTGGCAAATCCTATTCATCACATTCCTATGGCAACCGCATGTATGCCATTCATAAGCAATCTCTGCTCTTCTCTTCAGGCTGATCTGATCACGCTAACATGATGATAATAAACCCCTACACAGCACCCGGGAATTTATTACAACCTCTGAGCAAAACAACAAACACTTGATCAACCCATGCGTTAATCACCACTTTAACTAGCTTATAATGTGACTTAATGGAAAAGTCAATGGCTGTTAGAGAGGTCAGATTTTGCATCATCAAAGTGGCTCTGTCTCAATACAGGGGGACAGAAATGAGCTAGCTTATATGCTCAGAGGCATTTCCTGGTTTATCTCTTGAGATAATGATATCTTCATAAAACAAGGTTCCCATTCTAAGCCAAATATCAAATCCTCTGACTTTCACTGACTAAAAAGATGAATTTCCATCACCTAGGTTGAACACTAGGCAGACAAACAGGAAAAATTATCTTTTATTGTGTTAGATTGCAAATTTATTTAACCTCTTAAGGCCCAAGGTGTTTTTTACATACATTTCCCTTTTTATTTGGGCTTATTGAAACCTAACTAGAATAAAGCCTAAGTATCACCTTTTGACATGATGTCCTTTTAGAGAAAAATGATGTCCATATATGTGAACTTGTGGTTCGAATTTATATGAAACGCCATTTCCTGACTGTCCTGCATATATAACATGTTTTGACTTTCAGAGAGTAAAAACAACACTTTTTGCCCATTTTAGACAGTTATAAATAGTGTTTGGGACATTTCATATGTTGCAAAACAGTTGCAGGGTGACACTGTATGTCTGTAACAAAATAAAAAAAACATTCAAGGTATTTTAAATAGCCACTTAAGAGCTAAAATGTGCTGTCCATGTACAGTATGTGGCCACTAAACCCTAGGATGTTAAATATATAATTAGTTTTTACATTGTAAGATGCATTCTGAGGGATCAGGTTTTATTGTTATTATGTAACAGACAGTATCATTTCTCCAAAGTAATAAAAATTATAAGGTCTAGGCAAATCAGGTCTGACTGCCTACGTGAGAAATACAGTATCATATAGGCATGGGCCGGTATGAGATTTTGACAGTATGATAACCTTGGATAAAAATATAACGGTCTCACAGTATTGTGATTACTGCTCTTAAATATGTTCTTTTTAAAAAATTTGAACACAATATATTTTTTTGTTTTGAGAAACATTTAACATATTTTGTAACAGTAAACATGTCAGGCTACATAATTCAAATGAATCTTTGACTGCTGTCAAAAACAAAGATTTCTTTACAATTTAAAATGGCATCTTTAGATTTCTTTTCTGCTAGAGATACTGTTGTTCTAAAAAAAAACAAATGCAAAAAAAAATCTTACACATGCCTTAGGAATGGTATAGCAGAACATTATGGAGTTTTAAAACGTTTTACACTCTAAAAACGTAGCCCTATATATATTTCTGGAGATCACAAATTATGTGGCCGGAAGTACGCATGGCTGCAATTAGTTTTTAAAACAAACTTTACGAAGCGGTATGATGCCATTCCTTTTATCGCTTACAGCTGACCGCTTACCTCTGTATTGAAGGCTTTCCCGCTGTTACCAGTTTGTCCTATTAGCTCACCATGTACGTAGGTGGCACAGAGAGAAGTTGACCACGACGACAGGGTTTGAGTTAAGTAAAGAACAATTCCAGAAAGTGGATAAGTCAAAATAGGAGCAAAAAATAAAATAAACAAGTACATAACAGAGTGAGAATGTGGTAAAATCGTGGTAAAAATCAAGCGAGGGCTTTTCTTTTTCTGGATTTTTATTTACAATTGTAGTTGGTTTTAGGGAAGTGGGTGATCGGGTCAATCTGTGCTTTTGAAAACACTATTGCTTGGGTTTAGGGAAGGAGGAGGATGGGTCAGTTGATTGGTCAGTCAGTCAGTCATTTAGTCAGTCAAACAGTCAGTTGACAGCAGCCTCTGGTGGAATTACGTGAGAACAGCAGGCGCGAATGACACTCGAGAGAGAAATTTGAGATCTCAAAAAGCTTCTGGTGGATTCGCAAAAACAAAAACTGCAAAAAAAAAATTTAGCTCCTGGAACGTATTTGGTGCACTCCAGAAATGTATATAGAGGTACGTTTTCAGAATGTGCTTGGGTTGGGAGTTTTTGTTTTTACTAATAAGCATTGCCCATTGCAGTAGTCGAGATTTTTTCAATGAACGACATGGCGACAACAAGTTCTCATTAAAGGATTCTGCTTTGAAGATACCCAAAATTTGTACTTTCTTCAAATTCAAAATAGTTTTGGTGCCGTGACCCAGATAGACTGAAATCTTTATTTTACCAACAACTTGGTGCTGTCACCTGGCTAGAGCCTTAAATCGTCTTTTTTTTTTTTTTTTCAACAATCTTATGCTGTCACGTCGTATCTCTTTCAGACACAGTACTTAAGCCTGAAACAGGTGGAAAGTAATATTCATTTAGTCATTCATTCATTCATTCATTTTTTTTAAGCAAAGTAACTGCGAAGCAACCGTGCTTTGAAATGCAACCAATGCAATCAGTTCTACCAGAAAGACTCTAGGAGGCAGATAAACGTTTGAACATTTATTGTGAATTGTTTGCATGAATGAGAGTTCGTTACGGTCCTTTCATAAAGTTCTTTGGCGTAAGCCCCGTCTATAGTGCAGAACTCTGGATGAGCTGGCAGAT